AAGGAACAATGGGCTGGGAGGTCATTTCCTTCATCATAATTAATTCCTTCAATATCACTTATTAAGTCATCAGTTATCTGAGCCAAAGGTGTAGTTGTAGAATGTTCTTTTTTATATGCATGATGATAAGCAGAATTTTATTCATTAGTCCCAAAAGGTTGATTCTGTTCATCTGGATGTAGCATTTTCAGTGGGAGAAATGAAAGTGACTTCTTGCCACAGCGCGAGCCAACAGACACAGATTGGACCCAAAAGACAGATTTAACAGAGATGCTCAAGATACGTGACATGACTTTTACTTACAAGACTTGAACAGCGGCAGTGCTTGTGAACATAAACAGTGACTATATACAAGGTTAAGTGACACTATTATGGTATTAAACATGTAGGTCAACACTAGTGCAGGGGCACTAGTGACGATCAGCTGTGACGATCATAAAATGCTATAACTATGAAGACTATACACAGGAACATGAGCTAGAGCCAGAGCTGTGACATGGGCAAAAACACTACAACTATGCTATATACAGAAATGATGCTATATACAAGAACAGGAACTAGACAATGATAACCGAGATGCAAGATAAATACTGTGAGTAACTGGGGTGGACATGAGCAAGTCAGCGGGGTCCTAGAGTTAGATGAGATGTCCAAGGGAATATAGGGTCAGGAATGTGAGTGGGAGGACCAGTGATCAAAGTCACTGCAACAACAGGAGAGGTGAGTTAGAAAAGACTAAGGAAAAGACTGAAGAGGTAGATCCAATTGAAGATATTTCATGGTTTACTTTGTCTGCAGATGGACGTCTGTGAGAGGGGGAGGCAAGGTCATGAAAGTCTTGGTGAGTATGTGAATGATCCACTCCAGAAAGGTTCCAGTGGTGAGACAGGGAAGCAGGCAGATGAGAGTGGGCTAGTTTCATTTATTGTGCAAATGTACTGTTTATACAGTTGGGGAAACCTGCTGTCAGCTGAGACTGAAGTAGTCACTTGAATGAGTGATGAAACATTTCTCCCACTGAATACGCTACGTCCAGATGAACAGAATCAACCTTTTGGGGCACTGACAGTGATTTATGTTAGTGCTGTTGTTTATCCATGGCAAAATACAACACATTTTTGTATGGTTACATTTCATATATAACAATCTATCCCCAGGCTGACACTACTGACACAGACTACAGGCAAAGTAATGGAGGAATAAGCCAGGAATATATGGACTTTCTTAAGAGCCGAGAGGCCAGACAGAGACCTCAAAGTCTCACTAGTGTAATTACAGACACAATAGAGGGTAGGTGTTTTTTTTTTTTTACAATTGCATGAATTGCCATTTTTGTCTTGACTACATCTACAATGTCAGTGTAGCTTCACACAAAATTTTTTCATCACTTCGCCATCAGAACTTGAAGAGTCAAGGCAGAAATGTCCTACTTGGTGGTACGATTTTGCCTACACTTTCCTCATCTGGGAGTGGTGCCCAGGGTGGCTGAAATTCAAGAAAATCATTCATCTAATTGTGATGGACCCATTTATGGACCTATTCATTACTATTTGCATTGCACTCAACACATTGTTTATGGCCATGGAGCATTATCGAATGACCCCTAGCTTCCAGAACATGCTTAATATCGGCAATAAGGTAAGTCAAATTAAGAGCTGATTATTTTTAATCAAATATAAATCAAATATAAATTTTATCAGTGTTCATTATGTATTATTATGTGTGTGTGTGTGTGCGTGTGTGTGTGTGTGTGTGTGTGTGTGTGTGTGCATAAAGATATTCACTGGCATCTTCACAGCTGAAATGGTCTTCAAGGTTATTGCACTGGACCCATTCTATTACTTTCAGAAGAAATGGAATATCTTTGATGCGATCATTGTTAGTTTAAGCTTGATAGAGCTTTGTTTGGAAAAAATGAAGAATATGACTATCTTGAGATCATTCCGATTGGTAAGTCTATAAATGCACATCTACGATAACAAGCAGTAGTAAGTGAAACCTTTGGAATTGTTAGCATCTATGTATAAATTTTTCATAAATCAGCACAACTGGGAGCACCTGGCCAGCCTCCCTGGAGCCTGTGACAGTTTTTGATTGGTTTTCATCCACTCAGCAACATGTCAATTATGTAGTTGGCTTTGGTCATGTTACCTAATGCTACAGTTAGACTACGGAAAATAGTTGTTGGAGACATGAACAAAATTATTGCAACTGGGTGTAATGAATTTGTAATCTCATGGCGATCAAATTCAGAACGAGAATACTCTACTAATCCCAAAGAAAATTATGGGGTCACAATTGATCCAAGACACTAAGAGAAGTAACCAAACAAAATTAAATAATACAATGTATTACAAAGTTGCAAAATATAACAAAATAGATTTTAGTACAAATACCTCTAATTATAAATATCCCAGTATATTGCCTAAAATTAAATATATATAGTTGAGATTGAGGTGCCCTTCTAATCATATTGACTTTGTCATTTTTCTTTGTTGAGGATGTGATATTGAGGGTGTTCAACTATTGCAGCGTGTACTTGATTAAAATTATTTCTGCCTGTAGCTATGGCATTCTGTGGTGCATTTGGGCAAGCTAAATCTCTCAAGCTAGGCATACACTGTGCGCGTTATTCAGCTCCTGCTCAAATTATACGATTGACTCGCAGGGGTTAAAAGTTCGTAGGTCACGATGCAGGGTCTCACACTATACGGCCCAATGCTCATATGCAACCTGAGTGCTCACACTGTGCGTCCCTAACATGAAGGCTATAACACAAAATCTGTCACTCGCTCTCTCCCTCTCTGTCTTTCACTCATCCAACTAATTTTGTGAGGCCAAATCGAAAAGGCTTAGATGAGCTTGCCAAAGTTTTTTTTTTTTTTTGCCTGTCCCGTTTAGTTCTTTTGCCATCAGAATTATTGTCTAAAGGCGAGGAAAGATGCCCAACGGATTTACTTACTTAGCTTGCCAAAGTTCTACAAGTTGTGCTTTCATTGCTTGTGTCCAGATCACACGCTGCACTGCCGTGCTCCTCCGTCTTTTCACTTTCATTTCTGTGTTTGCGCGTGTGCAGTGTGAGAGGCTGCGTTGACCACCTCAAGACAGCCGATAGGATTTCAAACAGGTTTGATTTTCTTACGACCAAACGATTGATGATCGGGATCTGGTTGTGGGGTGTTAATCGCTTCTCGTTACACCATGTATACTACATGATGCATGACACACGATGAAGCCGAAACTCGGGCTGATCACCAAAACAGTCGCACGACTGAAAAATTGGCTCAAAATGGGCCAAAAATCACACAGTGTATGCCCAGTATTACTGAACGTGCTCCTGTGAGTGGCAAGCAGGACATGGAGAGGGCGGGAGGTATTATCCAGTATTTCCTTTATCTTGGACAACATTTACCTCAGTGACACCACCTTTAGAGAGTCCACCCAGAAAGAGTGGCCTGATGGTGTTGAATGCACTGGTAAAGTTTAAAAAATAATATGACCCAGGAATCCACACAGATACAAAGCTTCTCAAGAACACTAAACAGGTCACCTATTTCCAGCAAGCTTCTCTGCAACAGAATCTGCACACAGATTCTGCAGAAATGATAGAAAATGTTTTCCATATAAAGGCAAGTAGTACAATCACAAAGGTAGGAGCCAAGCTATGTTAATTGTTTATCATAACTCAATTTCGCTGCGGGATGAATACAGTTTCTCTGATTCTGCCACTGAGCCACTCCCTTAAGTAGTGACTCCATCGAGTTAATCAAAGACAGATTACCAGTGGATGTCCAGAAGGCAGGAACCTGAGCTGAGTCCCTCCACTACACAAAAACCAAGACACCAATAGACACACAAACAGGGATAGAGGAGAGGTAGAAAGCATAAGAGGGAGAGACAGATGAAAACGTAAGGACAGAGGGACCATAAAACTGCAATTGTTGGGGTAAAGGTTGTTTCCCAACTTTTTAAACATAGTTCCAAAGGACTCACCTGCTTCTTCTTGCCACTATACATCATGGCCTGTATGTTCTGGTGTTTTTTGAGTTAGGTAATGACTTTTTTTTGTTTTTGTTTTTGTTTACAGCTTAGAGTATTCAAGTTGGCTAAATCCTGGCCCACTCTAAATAAACTTATCAAAATAATTGGTAATTCAGTGGGGGCTTTGGGCAACTTGACGCTGGTCTTGGCCATTATCGTCTTCATCTTTGCTGTGGTGGGCATGCAGCTATTTGGAAAACAATACAAGGACTGTGTGTGTAAAATTTCTGAGGACTGCACTCTTCCTCGTTGGCACATGAATGACTTCTTCCATTCATTCCTCATTGTTTTCCGGGTGCTTTGTGGAGAGTGGATAGAAACCATGTGGGACTGTATGACAGTGGTTAATGAACACATGTGCATCACTTTCTACATGATGATCCTGATTATGGGAAACCTTGTGGTAAAACTTTCAATGGTCAAATTCATTAATTTAAACTCATTAAACTGATTAAAATGTAATTCTTATTTAAGTAATTGTACATAGCGGTTTTACAGTAATATGTGTTTTGTTGTAATCAGTTTATAATAGTTTCAATATAAATTTTACCTGTCCATGTCATTACCTGGCAGGTCCTGAACCTCTTCTTGGCCCTGCTGCTGAGTTCATTCAGTGCTGACAATCTAGCATGGGCAATGGATGACAAAGAGACAAACAATTTGCAAATTGCCATTACACGTATATACGAAAGCATTTCCTTCAGCACTAGCTGCAGCAGTGCCTGCCTTAGAGAGAAGAAACAAAAGAAGGATGAGGAAAAATCTCTGGATGAACTCCACAAACCTTTAGGGCCGAACAGTATCCTAAACCATGGCAATGGGGAGGTGATCGGCGTAGAAAAAACTGGGGACAAATACATAGTCAGCACCAAAAGCAATGATTCACTAACATCTTTCATCAACAACCCTAGTGTGACTGTCACCATCTCTATGGCTATAAAAGAACCCAATACTGAGGACTTCAACAGTGCTTCATCAGATGTAGCAGGATGTCCTGCGGTAAGGATGTTCTTGGTCTCAAAAATCTCTAAAGATGCCTGATTTTTGTTTTAAACCAAGCCTTACAAAAGTTATTTATGACATGTAATGCAACCACATAGTGTAAGAGAACACTGTTGCTGGCGTAAGTTAGGTATTTCATTAGTAAAGGTGAATGGATCAGCCTAAAATCTAGTCATGGCAATGACATGTATCGTACACACTTGATTCAAAATTTTCTTCTTCCTGCTCCTTTTCACACATGGCTGTAGTGTTTTTGATAGAAAGTGTGGTTGGTTTGTTTGATTTTTTTTTTGTACCAAGTGTGAAATAAATAAATAAATGAAATGAAAATCAACCAAAAAACATAAAATCCAATTAGGAAAAAGTTTTGTTGTTTTTTTTACTGTAAAAACCACTAACATGTTTATCAAATCATTTTCATAACTTGAAATGCAAATATAAATTATAAATTTTAAACACTTATTCACAAATTTTGAAAATAGCAAAGTCATATACAAATAATTACCTAAAAATGCATCCAGTGCCTCAGGTGTTTTTTGTACAACTATTTAAAATTACTACTAAAATGACAGAACAATCTGTCATTTTGTGAAACTAGTCTTACTCAATGGCTTTATTATATCAGCTCATCCAAGATTTTCATCTACACTATTAATTTCATCCACAGATTATCATTGATGATGGACAGTTCAGCTGCTCAGATGCAAGCACAGTGGATGATGTACCAGCTGGAAAGAGAGGAAATTCTCCAGACTTTGAATTAGAAGATGATATAGATCCTAATGCTTGCTTCTCTGCTGGTGAAACTAACACCTGCTATAACTTTAGTTTTAATTTGAATCTGCATTTTCCATGTCTAAAACACCATTCTAACCATTTCTAACCATCCTAACCATTGTCTCTTTTCAGTCTGTGTGCAGGCATTCCATTGTTGTCAAGTAAATGTAGATGTGGGCTGGGCTAAAATATGGTGGGCACTACGAAAAACCTGTTATCAGATAGTGGAGCACAACTGGTTTGAGAGCTTTATCATCTTCATGATCCTGCTTAGCAGTGGGGCTCTTGTAAGTATTTACATAAAAACATCTGGCATCTAATCAGGCAGTTCTTAACTGTTCATTTTTAAAAAGTTTTTTTCATTTAATATTACTAAATCAGTCTCTTTCAGTGATCTGTTCTCACGTTTGTTTTGGAACAAATCCTAAGATATTGTCTGCAAAGTACTATTGATATTTTTAATGGAAATTTCATTATGTGCATGTTTGGCATTAATACACTTTCCATTTGTATTTACACTTACCTGTCTTTTTCCTCACATTTAGGCATTTGAAGATATCTACAATGATCAGAGGAAGACTATTAAAACAGTTTTGGAGTTTGCAGACAAAATTTTCACTTGCATCTTTATTCTGGAGATGTTACTGAAGTGGATGGCATATGGATTTGCTAAATATTTCTCAAATGCCTGGTGCTGGTTGGACTTCCTAATTGCTAATGTACATCAAAATGCTGCTTAGACAGAAACACACAGTTTAATATATCTGTGCCGCTTATAACATACTTGTAATTGTATTTTTTCCAGATCTCACTGGCCGATCTAGTAGCCAACACATTAAAGGCTAATAATTTCGGTCCCATGAAGTCTTTGAGAACCCTACGAGCTCTAAGGCCACTAAGAGCCCTGTCACGCTTTGAGGGCATAAGGGTAAGAGCTGTTGGAACCACCTATCCATTCAGAGTCACGTTGAACTATCTACCACTAATCCAGTACACTAGACTACAACCTAAATCTCTTAGGTACACTTTGCTAGTTCTGGGTGGGCCTTCTTTAGTCTTCAGAACTGCCTTTATTCACTTTGTCATAGATTAAACAAGGTGCTGTAAACATTCCTCTGAGACTTTGGGTCCATACTTACACGATAAAATCACACGGTTGCTGCAGATTTATTAGCTGCGTATCCAGAATACAAATCTATGGTTCAAACACATCCAAAACTTGCTCTGTTGGATTTAGATATGGTGACTGTGTAGATCAGTCTGAAATTATTTGAGGTTTGTGGGACATTATCTTGTTGGAAGCAGCCACAAGAAGATGAATACAGTGTGGACATAAAGGAATGGTCATGGTTGCTTATAATACTCAAGTAGGTTGTGGCATTTAGGCAATACTTAATTGGATGGATCGATTAATTAGTACTGAGAAGCCTAAAGTCTGTCGAGAAAATATCCCCCACACCCTTGCACTACGACCACCAGACTGAACTACTGGTATAAGGAAGAATGAATCTAGGCTTTGAACTTCTTGTCATATCATCCAAATGTCACAACAAAAATCAAGACTCAACGCAGCAGCTTTTTCCAGTCTTCTTTAGTCCAATTTTGGTAAACCAATTTGAATTCTTGCTCAGTTTTCTTTGTTTAACTGAAGTAGTGGCATCTGATATATTCTTCAGCTTCTATAGCCCATCTGCTTCAAGGTTGGATGTGTTGTGTGTTAAAATATGCTCTTCTGTTCAC